GCCGTAAAAATTTGACTAAAAAGTTATCTATTTTAAAGTAGGAAATCTATATTTTAGGAGATATCTAAGTGTAGCTGAAAGTTAAAGGAAAAAGTATGAAAGCTTTTTTAGTACTATTTTTAGGTTAAATAGATAATTTTGTACATTAGGAGGAGAGATATCTAAGTGTAGCTGAAAGTTAAAGGAAAAAAATGAAAGCTTTTTTTGTACTATTATCAGGTTAAATATAATTTATTTTGAGGTGAAAATGAAAGCTGGAAGTTGGGAGGTGAAACTAATTTAGGCCTCCTTTGGTTTGTAGGAAATTTATAGGAATTCTATAGGATTTGCAAAGTAAAAATTCCTTTGAGACCATCTGGTTTGTAGCAATGGATTCCTGTTCCACGTAGGATAGGAATCAATCCTTCATATTTTGGAGGAAAGAAAACATTAGCTTGACTCAATGAAAAAATTCCTATCATATGCATCAAATGACATCCCTTTCTCTATAGGAATTGAGATGCATGTCATCTCGCTTTCTATGATTTTCCTATTCCTATGACATTCCTATTCTATGAACCAAAGGAGGCCTTAGTCGGAAGTTAGACCTCTTTTTTTGTCTAAGTGTAGCTGGATGGTTGGCCATGGGAGAGGTCAAGGAAGAAAGCGGGTTGTCTCTGACCCAAATAAAACACACAGAAATGGAAATGAGATGCCTGGAAACGCTGAAGATACGAAGCAAACGGGTTCGGCTCCTCCTCTACAGTACTGCTATTATTGCATCGCTAAGTAGATAATAGATGATGCTCGCGTGTTGCTGCGGAACCTTGATAAAACATATGCATAAATAAAGCATATAATCATCTGATAAAAATATACATGAGGAGACCCATTTTGCAATATTTGCTTCAAGCGTCCAACATATATACCGTCCATAGCCACAAAAATATGAGTGGAACACCATGCATGATCGTTGATGTGGCATGGTTGCATGGACACTTTCAGTTGTCATCTTGCCGAGGCCGTCAACGAATGGTGGAATAAGAGAACCAACAATCAAAACCCTAATAGACAAGTCATGGCCTCTCTCACCATCCTTGTGTCTTGAACTATTTGGAATGAAAGAAATGCTCGGATGTTCCGACACAAGTATTCGCCACCGCCCATTCTCCTTAACATCATCCTAGAGGAGACCAAACTTTGGGTTACCGCGATTGCTAAAAAGTTAGGGCTTATTACTTTACGTGAGTAATTGTCATGCCATGTATGTGGGCTACTTGTAACACTCTAAACTCTTTTCTTATTTAATGGATGAGGCGAATCTTATGCCTCCGTTTTGAAAAAAAATTACATCCGCACGGTCGTTGTCATAAGCAGCACTGGATGTTGTACCTCATGACATAGAAGTCCGCGTCACGGCCGGCGTTCCAGCCGGCGAGAGCGGCACCTGCACGCTGGTGAACAGATTGAGAGAGTCGAGGTCAGAGGCGACATCGGTGGACTTGGAGCATCTACAGTCGGGCGCCTCAAACCTGCCTCATATGCCCGGGCGGGCCGCTCGGTCACTATCCGGTCACGATTTTTTGACCCAGACGGGCCCCTCAAACGACCCTCAAATGCCCGGGCTGACCGGCACCTCCCATGTCCAGCCCAAATATGGGGCGGATATGGCCGCGCTCGGTCATGCCTGCCATGTCAGACCCGGCCCATGCTGGCCCACCCGACCCCCACATAAATTTCTCCCCATCCGCTCACCGGACCAAACCCTAGCCACTTCACTCCGCTTTCTTCCAATCCCCTCCGCCACCCAAGTTCATCTCCGGCTCCTTTTGGCCATCTCCGGCATGGTGGCCAGCGGATCTGAGTCGTTCAGTTCCAGATCCATCGACCCCGAGCTCAACCCACACGGCCCCGAGGAGGTATTGTCGTCCGGTTTGCGCTCTGCCGCGCCCGGGAGGAGGCCCGTGCACGGTTGCGCTCAGACTCCATCTGTCGGGAATTCATTGCGTCCGCCCAAATGGTGCATGAATCTGGAAGCCGTAGCTGCCTCGTCGGAGGCCGTGCGGTCTGTTTGGCGTCCGAACGCGCTGGCGGACGCGCAACCCCTTCGTTGGCGCGCCGATATTCAGCACGCACCATCGTCCCACGAGGCCGTGGCACGTCGTGCCCGCCGTGCAAGGCACCGGGCGCGGGACTCGGCGGCGGACGCCGCCGAGGCGGAGTCGCATTCTCCACTGCCCCGTATGGGGCATCAGTCTGGGCGATGCAACCGCATCGTTGTGGATGCCGGCGGCTCATCCCCAAACAGATCCGTTATCGATTTGACGTCCGCCCGGCATCGTTCGGGTTCCGGGCTCCGGCGAGGAAGAGTAGGGCATGGGAGACGGCGACGCCTCGAGTCCCGTGAGCCGGCTCTGTCCCATGCCCTACTCTACCTTGCCGGCAACGGGACCAACACTCTGAGGAGCGCAGCCGACTGCCGGACATGGCCAGGGCGGAGCCGGGCAAGAGGGGAGCGCAATCGAACGAGCTCCGCTTAGATTATGTTTCACGTTGCAGATAATAATATGGATTTGAGGTTTCAAATTTGAGGTATCCGAATATGAAATGCATTTTTTAAGGCGTGATGGGTCACTGTCCGCGGGCGCATCCGCGAACGTTTGAGGGGATCGAATTTGTCAATTCCGGCTGTAGATGCTCTTACCGGAAGAGGCCAAATTTAGGAGAGCAAGGAGAGCTGGCCTTCCGATCGCATGTGAACGGGAGATTGTACTTGTATCCACTGTATCAGTGCAGTAATAGCAGTACTGTGGAGGAGCCGCATCCGAAGCGGACATGCTTATAACTTTTAAAAGGCCAGCCGCACGTGATATATATGTTCAC